AATCCCTGGACGTTTTCATTTTGCTGCATGTTTCTGTAGGCTGTCCTGCTTGGTTCAATAACCTGCTTCCACCAAATCCACTTCTCCCAGCTCCCCTCCACCAGCTCACTCCATCTCCCTGCTCCGTTTAAAGCCTGTGCCACGTGGCATGGTCACACCGTTTTCCTACTAAAGGTATGAAAGGAGCGGGCAGGGGCTGCCGTGCCTTGGGACAAGATACATACAGGGCAGACATCACGCCGCGAAGGCAGCTACGTTGGTAAACACCGAGATGACTTGTTTATCGCTTCCGACTTCGACCACTGCCATGAGGTCAAGCCACCGCAAGTAGCCACCAAGGGAAACGAGCAGGGTTATTCTTCAATGAGAGCTGCTAGATCAGGAATTCATATGTGAAACATGTACAGCAATGTCTACATGGTGCTCTGCAGACAACACCCCCCCCCCAAAGTCTCGTCCCACCATCCTTTGACCTCAGATACCATAAGATACCCTCATCTGAAGTAGGTGAATATGTATTGCTCGACACAACAGGCTCAGCTGGAGACTGCTCCTGCTTGTCTAACATGAGAACTGAGAGAATTACTCCTATTTTTCGGTTGTAGAAACTGAGGCAAAGAAAACAAGGAGATTTGTCCAAGGTCACACAGCAGGCCGCAGCTCAAGAGCTCAGGACTAAGCCCATAACATACTCTCTCTTCCCTTGGTTGGGATTCTGCTAGGCAGCCCTCATGCAGATGGCCTTGTAACTAAGCAAACTGAGTGGGACTGAGACCTAGATTTGTTTCCAGACTTGCCACAGATTATTCATGTGATCTTGTCACTTCACCTCTTTGTGACCAAGCTCACAGTCTATATATCCTACAATCACATACCCAAGTCTGCATCTGTGCTTTTCTTCATAGCCTCCTGAAATTTTTTGGTCACATCTTCCAATTTGAGAGATGGGAGAACAAGACAAAGTTCGAATCTTGGAAAGAAACAAACCAAAGAGTATCGTACGTCCAACAAACCATTTATGGGCCGAATATGCTCGTTTCTGTTGTAAGTTAAAATATACAGGCAAGGCTCTACGAAGTTCAGTGCTGCTCAACCTTTCCTGGTTGTTTTCAACCTTTTCAAATCAGTGATCTCTTAGTCAAAGTCACATTTCCTTAAGTCCCCACATTCACCACAAATGGTAAAGCCAAATGCTTCCAGATGTTACCTGTGACACAGTCCGTATGGTAAAGCCAATATTTGTCCTCAGAGGTGTTGAGCTGTTCAGTGACCCCAGAGATTTCTGGCAATTTCACACGCTTTACTTTAGAGCTGCCATAAACTGCAAACCTGGAGTGGCAACGACCCGTGCAGGGAAACTTTTCCTCAGGAGATGCCTATGTGAACACAGGGAAGCATAAGCTGCAGCTGCAAGGGGAGTTACGCTTCAGAAGTATATGAAGTTGTGTTTTTTTTCCTTCAGACTCTCTTAGAGCAAAAGACACTGCCACTAACTGCCTCAGCTCATTCTAAGGATGTACTCCAGTACATGGAGTGGAAGCTGACAGAGTAAATGGGAATGCCTTAAAAGCAGAGAGATCGCAGCGTAGCAAGCACTGATACAGGCGCCCACAACTCAACTTGCTGCTGGCTGGAGAACGAGCCTGCTTTCTCTTCCAGAGGCATGATGGTCCCAAAAGTTGAGAGGGAACGTCTGCAAAGAATCCCTGCAGTGGGTTTGCCCATGGCTGGTTGCCATCCTCAACGCGATGGGCCCCCTCCCCAAACTCCCTTAAAGCCATGACTGAGCTGTCCAGTCTCTGCATTATTTCACCCCTCCACACATTCCATATTCCTGCAAAGCAACCTCCGATTAAATGCTCCAGCTGGATCAGCGGCTCATGCGGACTGCGACACCTCACAAAGGGAGGACCAACCTGTGCTGGTGAAGAGCGCAGAGCTAAAGAACAGCCTTCTCCCGAAGCTACATCAATGACTGCTTCCTCCTACTTGCTATCCGGCAGCAAAGCTCCAGTGATACAAGTTATTTTAAGGAACTTTCCTTCCACCCTGGCTGTTTCAACACACACTTAAACATTCATTCCACACCTTCTCGATCAAATAAGCAAATGGATTTCAATTGACCAGCCAAGAGTAAAAAACATGCGCTTTTGTTGTCATGGGATTAAAACTGGGTTCATTTGTGTTGTCATGCTACCATAATTGACAGGTTCTGCCAGTATCAGCCTCTGATTCATCTCAGCCTGCTGCCTCTACGTCAGTATGTCCCCTGTCCCTCCTTTCACGTTACCTGAAAGTCTTCCTACCTCCTTTCCTCCTTGACATCTCTGCTTTTGCATAGACTATGCGAAGATACATATCATCAGCAAAGCAATTTGCACCCATGAAAACACAATTATGGGCTCTGTGCTGTGCTTCTGGTCACAGAACGATCTAGAGGCAGAGCGGAGGAAGGGGCTGCTGCAGGATAGGCAAAGCAAAGCGGCCGTGCCAGAGGAGCTTGGGCAGTAGTTCTTCATGTGCAGGCGTTTCTCGGCCTGACCTCCATGGTATTCCACAGGCAAAGACAGGCTGAATTTCCTTCTTCTCCACTATTTCTCCCTCCCTTCATCCTTCCCCCACCCTCTCCTGCAACT